CAGACAAAAGTGTAAATGAACTGGAAAGAAAGTTCTATTTTGGACTAGATTTGGCAATTTTTTGGGTGAAAATGAAATCCTTGGATCTCTTTTGAAAATTTTGAATTTAAGCCTGAAGTAAAAGAAATTTTTTAAAACTTTTTGCAAAAAAAAATACTCAACCTGTACTGCTCTGATTGACTTCAAACTTTTTATTTAGAAAGATCATGTAAATATAAGATCTTCAGCAAAGTACTAAATTGCGCTGCCCCGCCAATCTCGAGAAAACCGAGATCAAAAAATTAAGTTTTGAATTGACTGTCAAATTGGCCTTGTGTTTCAAGCTTGTAACTTAGCGATTTTTTGTCTTTTAATCCTTTTTCTTTGATATACTAGTAGAAAAGCTTTACATAAACCTAAATTTTTAAATTTGTAAACGTAACTTGTCTGGTGAGTCGAAAAAGTGCTTGAAACACAATGCCAAATTAGCTAAATTGACGGAAAACTTAAATATTTAAAATTTAAATCTCAAAAAAAGCGCTAGATAAACTTTTTTATGGGTACTGGTCATACAATAACGTTATATAAAAATTTTGGGTTAATTCTGAGCAGTTGAGTAACTTCGTTGTAAATAGTATTAAAAATAATTTTAAAACTTTTTCATAGTGTAAAATACGCCATTCTTGCAGAAAATAACTTTTTTAAACCTATTCAAAAAAAAGATATTTAAAAAAGAAGGCATCACATAAAATGGCACATAATTTATTATATAAAAGTTCAGTATTTTCAAAAAACAGCTCTTTTTTAAAAATGTATAACACTATCAATTGTAAACTTTTATTTACAAAATTTGCCTTAGAATACTCAACAAAATAGTGTACTAACAAATATAAAAAACTAAAAAGAACATTAAAATTTAAAAACGTTAAACTTTGAAACGAAAAATGCAACAAACTATTCAAATTTGTTCGAATCAGAGGTCCTTAACCTATGCCGGTTGGAATCAGAGGTCCTTAACCTATGCCGGTTGGTGGCTCTTCTTCGGTCGAAAAACCGAGGAAATACGCTCGGATGAGAAAGTTGAATAGAAAACCGGCGACGAATTGCCGGAGGGAAGATTTTTCCTACCTTTTGCAAAAGCAAAAATAACCCCTTCTAGTCGTTTTGCATGTGGTAAGTTGGTGTCCACAATAATTGATTGCTTTGTCGACTAGTTGGATATCTGTTCTTACAAATTAATGCTAAGTAATTTTTGTCGTATTTTTGTAAATTTTATAGAACAAAGCAAGGTAAACTAACAAAGAACACCCCCTGCCCCAAAAAAAATTTTTGAAAAAAGTTGAACGTGGTCCCTCCTGTGGATTTTTTGAAAAAATTTTGTTTTTTTCGACCTCAAGCCCCCAGACCAAAGGTCTCCGCCGTCCTTGGGAGGGAGCACATAATTATTTTAACAAAACCTCCTATTACAACATCATTTATAAAATATCCAAAACCACGTTAAAACAAAATACTTACTATCAATGTCTTAAAAAGTTTTATAAAAGACCCTGCCAACCCATAAAAAATAGCCGCTTAATAAGCGAGCATGAAACACCTTGTTTTAGAATAGCCGTCGGCGCCAAACTGGTCAAAAAACCGTGGACGAAGCGATCAAATTTCATCAGAAGAGATGAATAAAGTATTAGGAGTTTAATTGAACGCGTTTTTCTTGTCTATACCTACATGTTTTTAAACTTTTAAAAATTTTTTTGCTTCTGAAGACTATCTACTACAACATACGAGAGAAACTTTGGTTATTGTAAAATTTCAGCCTTTTATTGATGTTTCAGGGTTATCGCGACAAAACCAACCTTTATTGTGTAGTACGTAAAGCTATGTTATTGTAGGTATGAAAAGCATATATAAATTTATCACTGTATCGTATTTTACCTTATCAAACTATTAATATTTTTAATCCAGACTCTTGTCATACAATATTTTAGTAGTATATATATGACTTATAGTATGTACTTGTTTGTTTCCATGAATTACTTTAATAAACAAGCACTTTCTTACCAGCTCAAATTAAGTTATGAAAAATCCTTTGACAGACATATCAATTGTCGTTAATAAGAATTTTTAGTTAATTTCATTTGACAAAAAACTTAATTTGGCTTTTCTCATTTTTACTTTGGTATCAGTAGGGGATAAGAAAAGCATAAGGTTTGCTATGTTTACTAGAGTTGTCAATTTTAAAATTTTTAGCTTTGACCAAAGTTCCATTGGTGCCTTTTTCTTATTTTGTCATTAGCTCGGGCTGTTTTTGGAGCTACAATTCTACATTTTCTGCCTTTTGGACTACCCCATTTTAAATGTTACGAAATGCTAGTGTTTAGGACAAAAGACGGTAATCTAGTCCTAATGGCCAATAAGAGCATCAAAGAATGAAAAAATAAATAATTTATCTAGTTCAGTTGAAATACGACCACAATCTTTTTGACACGCTATTTGAGACGGTTCAGTTTTTGGGATGAGCTTTTAGGAGCTCACAGTTCTCAGTCTAAATTATTATCAAATTTTAGGTTTTTGGTAGTCCGTTAAAATACTGGAAGCTTTTTCTAGTGTCAGTAAACCCAAAAAGATTAAACGTCTTACTTCTATCTGAAAAGGTACCCACAGGGCTGGGCCGGGCCGGTTTAGGTAAGTGAATGTGAAAGAGGCCAAGCCGGGACATGTGGGTTTAAGAAACCCCACTTAGGGCTTGAGGGAGGGCACATCTTAGATCTTGTAACAAAAAATTTTTTTGGTTTTTTGTCTATTACAGTGTTTTTTGTGTGTTATCATTAATAATAATAATAAATATTATGTCCAAAACCTGTTTTATTTATAATTTGTTAAATATTTATAGTGTTGTTAGTTCTTAGATAAAGTTTTTATAAATAATGGGTTTGTTAAATTAGGTAACCACAAAGTAAAATTAATTTAAAGGTTACATTTTGGCTATTTGTTATAAGTAGGCGGACTGAATTTACAATCCCTGACGTTAGGTAATATTACTTCTCATTATTTTTTAGTTTAGGCAAGTTCGGAGGGGACAGCAAATTTTTTAAACATTTTTATTTGAATATTGGCAGAAAAAGAACCGCGGCGGTAGTTTTAAAAATTAAAGAGCTTGGCCTGAAAATGCCCATTAGAGTCAGTCTAGCTAGGAAAATGAGGCTTAAGTTTTTACAGAATTACAGGCACATGATTTTTGAGTTTATCTTTTAAAATCTTAAACAGTATATTAAGATGCAAATTATGAATCTCGTGTTAACTGTCCAGTTACAGAATTAAAGTCCGTTTTCAGTCACAAATGTCTGAATTAATAACTGGACTATTCCAACAAATATCAAAGTTTCTGGGAACAGACTGAGCAGTAAAGACCTAAATTAATCATCAAACGTGTTTTCTATACTGATGATTTGTGAAACTAATAACATACTATTACAATTCTTTTTTTGGCTAAGCAAACGCATAATTTAAAAAATTATTTCTTGTTACCTTGTGTTACAGTCACATGGTATTTCAACTGTAGTTTATATTTCATTTTGTCATTGTTCATAAATTGGTGTTTTAAGTTTCAATTGCGTTGACATTTTTAAAAATATCAATGCGGAACTAGGTTTAACATGTATGATACCACAGTGTTTTCGGTTTTAAATAACTTATACGAATGTTCTAATTAGAAGTTGATGTAGACATGCAGACGAATGTTTTGTATTTTTTTCTGCAAATTTTGTATATATTACAATGTCTTATATTATATACATGTATGATTTCTAAGTTCAAAACATATTTTTTGCATATACAGTGATAGTCAAACACTCTTAGTAAAACTTTTAAAAAATGAAGTTTAACAAGAAGGAAGTGTAGGATAAGCAAGGCAGGGCAGAGCAGAGCAGAGCAAAAAACTTATAACAACTTTTCTGTTAATAAAAACGTAAAATATGACGTTTCCTAGCTACATTTTTAAATATTCATTAGGTTTTTAGGTTACTTTTTACTTTCATTTGTTCAGCTTTGTTTTATGTTAATTGCCGTTTTAAGCATTATTCAATTTTAAGGTTAACTTAATTTTAATTTTTTGGATTACAAATAAAATTATTATAAAATCTTTTTTATTATTTGATAACCTAGCTTGATACTAATTTAACGTTTTTTTTATTTTTTGATATTATCAACGGGTTTTTAAAATAATTTTTTATATTGCCATTTTAAGTCAAAATCAAAAAATAATTTTAAGTTTTTTTAGCCTTTTTACCTTCTAATGCCATATGAAGACCTAGACGTAACAACGCGTAAAACATTGGCAGTGATTGGATTCATCGCTGGACTAGAAGCTCTTTGCGTCGATATTTTTGCTCTATGGTTTTTCATAAAACTACGGTCAAAAACGGGTATACACGGCACGTTATGTATCATAAAGACAGCCTCAGATTTACCATATGCTCTAGTTATGATATTATGGTCATTGCCGTGGACATTTACGTATGTTGATCATGGTGAAAAGATAAAAAGCTATACTGGAGTTGTGTTTTACATTGATCAAGGGCTGTTGATGATATGTATGACAACGTTCAACTTTGCTCTAAACATGGATGTTGTTATTTTGACTGCACGGTTTACTTCCGTATTTTATACTTTTACTTTTAAAGAACATTTTCAAGGAACATCGCTGAAGGTTATATTGTTATTGAGTAGTGTACTTGCTTTGGCGGTTTCTGGTAAAGTTGAGAAAACTACATTTTGTTGTAATTGGGTTAATTATGTAGATTAACACGTTATTAATGTTATATTGTCAAAACGATGTTATAGTAAAATATAAAATTTTAGCCTCACCGCTATACGTTGGATGCTTAAATTACTACGATAGGTCCGACTTCTCATCGAGTTATGTCAAATTTGGTACAAAAGATAAATGCACTCCTACTAACATGATTCAAATGATACCCCCTGTCTACATATGGACCTTGACCTTTATTTGTTTTACTTTGGCATTTATGACAGTTTTCAAGCTTCGGCGGCTGAATAATATTGTAGGTGACTGTATTTTATTTATTTTGTTTTCTACTCTAACTTACCTTACCCTGCTTTATCCTACCTTATTCTACCTATTCTACCTTATCTTGCCCTCTTCTACCTTACCCTGCTTTACTCTACTACACCCCTCTTTATCCTACTTACAATAACTTACTCAATCTTACCGTTCTTTACTATCGTACCTTATTTTACCCTGTAAGTTTTTATACAACCAAGTACAGTATAATAAACTTTTTAAAATCCAATTTTTCAGGCCACAAAGACAGTAAAATCCCACACAGGCAAAAGAAGGAAAGTTGAATATATGCTGCTGATCATTAGTATAACATCACCATTACTATTCCTTCTAAAATCGTGTGTATATCTTCTAGACTTCCCTACTGGTTTCTTTAAAGTACGAGTATTAGAAGGCTTTATATGTTTTTACTTCCTAGACTACCTTATTGTACAGGCCTTTGCGTAAGTTGCTTTACAAATATTCTTTACTCTACTCTTATCAATATTTTTTTTATAAAGTTTTTCATTGTAAAATACGTGTTATATATTTTGTTTGTAAATTAAACTTAAACATTAATTTTTCTTTATTGGTATACCTATTACAATACGTACTATAGTTAAAACAGTGACTTAAAGTTTGTAAATTTTAGAATAGTACAGCTTATCATCAACCCTTCCTTTTGGTCATTTGTAAAAGCAGGAAAGATTGATCCATCATTATCTACGAAAGAACTAAATCACGTTCAATTGAGGAGCAAAACGGTTTTACCTTCCCAATCTCAAAACGTGTCATTTTTCTGAAACTAATTTATTTGATTTTCATTGTTAAATTATTTTCTTGACGGATTGTTTATGTTATAAAATATTGATAAAGTAATATAAAATTATTTAGTAGTTATGCTAAATTTTTAGTCTTCTGATATATTTGGGGAAATTTTACAATAGACCCTTCTGGATAAGATACTAAATTGAAAAAGAACTCTTTTAAAATACAGTATGATATAAAAACTTCGATTTAAAATTAAACAAAAATCAACGATTAGCGAGCTCGAAGATACTGTATCTTTTCGTAAGTTACAGTAACACCTAGTAAGTGGAGGCACCATTAGATGAACTAAAGTATTATTTAATGAGCTACATCATCATTTAGTTATATTACAGTTAAATTCGGTGAGTTACAGTATTATTTGTTCGTTGTACGGAAACTTTGTTATAGAAGATATTGTTATACATGGTTAAGTATCTGTGTGTTTATTTGTTCTGTTTAGCATAACCAATTTGTATTTGTCTTAACTGTGCCAAATAGTAATCGAGTTGCTACTATTAGTTTAAACATTTTTTACTGGAGTATATTTTTTAAAACTATTTTGACTGTTGATATTAATAGTGCCGAGGTTCTTTGAAGATATGTCATGTCAGAAGTCGGAAACGAACAGGTGCTGTTTAAGACAGATTTTTAAAAATTTAGGTTTTCATTTATCATTTCTTAAGCTAGTCAAGAAACAAAAGATTGAACGTTGATTTTTTGTCTGCACTTATGTTTTGCTTGATCGTACTGTTAGTAGTGGTAGACAAGTACGCACTTGAGTATCGTTCTACAGTACTAAATAATATCTTTACATGACAAATGTTTTTTGTTGTTGTTGTAGATGTATGTTTTCTTTTTTTCGATTTATTATGTATTCGAATTTAAATTTTGACTGCTGAGCAAACCAAACTTGAGACATTGCCACAGGAAAAACATCTTCTTTCTGGCTGATTTGAATATTTTTCATTTGTTTAGGTAATAGAAAGTTTTGCCTTGCCTTGCCTTGCCTTGCCTTGCCTTGCCTTGCCTTGCCTTGCCTGCTGCTTTTCTCTCCCCTACCCGCCTCAACTCTAAGTAAAGTAGTATGCACTTTGCCTTGTAAGTGCAAAAACTCAAAGTAAATGTAAAAGTTATTACTTTGACGTTATTAAAAATTTTGTTTTTTTACAATACAAAACCATACTCGAATACAAATGTCGTTTAGCTTTTTTAATGCCCGGAGAGAAAAACAAGCAAAAGTCCCTGAAGGCATTGTTTTTGGCGCCAAAAATAAATGAAAACAGCTCGCTGGAACGGAATTACATCTAATATTTAAATACCAGCGGTCTGTTTGTTTTTGCCAATTATTTATTTGTGTTGGCATAACAGACAAATTAAGGTTCGTTTTGGGCTTCATAAGTGACATTTGATTTTTATGCCGTTATTAAGAAGTTATTGGTTTGTTATGAAAGTGGTGTGATATGTAGTTTATGGTAGGGGATATATTGTTGTTATAGGTGTAGCTTTTGACACTACAATTTTTTTAGCTACAAAACTTGATTTGTTTTCCAAATTTTAAGATTTTTGAAAATTTTTGAAATTTAGGTAACAATTTTAGTTTGTGCTAAAAATTTCTAAAATGTTATTTTAAGAGTTACCAAAGAATTTATTTTCTAATAAACTTAAACATCCCATAACCGCGTTTTGAAAAAAATTTTGTTGAAATTTCCTGATTTTTGATATTTTTTGCGACAGAATGTCAACGTTTTGCAAAAACGTTTCGTGGTCTTTTAAAGTTCATCCGAACTTACAACCAAATCAGCAAAATTCAAAAAATCTGGTCGATTTTGAAGTTTCGGAACAATTCATATGTATGAGTGGCTGATATAATTTTTGGTTGTCAAATTAGATTGTGACGGTGAAGTGGGTCTAACTTCCGTTCCAATTTGTTGGCCCCCAAAATATTTTTTTTCTAAAAAAGGCAATTTCAAGATTTGTTTCCAGAGAAAAAGTTAAGAAATATTGTTTGTGTTTATTGTTTTTGACATTTGGTAGGGTAAATATTAGGGTTGTACTGTAATTACGACTTGGGAAGTAGCAAATATAGCACTTTCTTCGTAAGGAGGATAAAAATTTTTGTTTTTAAAAAAATTAAAAAAAAAATTTTTTTAATTTTACAATTTTGTCGCGCGCAATAAAAAATTTGTAAACTTTGCTATTTTAGGTCATTTATGAATACTAAGAGGCCTAAAAACGTATAAAAACCAATATTTTCCAACTCTCAAAATAATTTGATTCCTAAAAACCAAGAAAGTGGTTCCAAATTTGTAAACAAACAATCCCTAACATTAGCTGACAGATTCCAAATATATAAAATGAAATTAATTTCATTTTTTGTCAAATTCACTCCTTCGAACGCTTCCAATCCTCAAGAGAGAACGGTCCTGAATCCAAACTGATAAGCAAATTTTCTCACGATGAATTCAAAGAAAACGCCGCTTCTAAGTAGTTTATCGCCTTTTGAACAGTTTTAGGAAGATTAACCTACTTATAACGTCAAAGTAATAACTTTTACATTTACTTTGTGTTTTTGCACTTACAAAGCAAAAACTCAAAGTGCATTCTAGTTTACTTAGAGCCGAGTAGGGTAGGGGAGAGACAAGCAGGAAAGGTATGACGGAACATGACAAGACAGATCAGGTAGAGCCGGGTAGAATAAGGCAAGGCAAGGCAAGGCAAGCTGGATAGATTGTTAAAATTTCATTTAATAAGTTTGTATGTCTATATCAATTAAAAACACTGTATTATAAAGGATAACAGATGCTATTGTGTAACAACAATAACATCAAAAATTACAAATTTTGTAGCGATTATAATTGCCTTCTTGTTCCTGTAAGTATTATACTGACGGAAACAAGAATGCAATTCTTATAACAGCACGAACAGTATAATATAATTTACGTAAAACCGACACGGAAGTCGTGTTTACAAAAAGAAGAATGAATATAAAGGTAAAAGAGTCAATTGTGAGTTTTCAGTATTTTTTTTATGTTTTTCTTTGCGGAAATTTATAGGTACTGCTACTAAAAGCTGTTATTAGTGCTACAATTGTTATTTTGATTATCAGAGGCGAGGAGGTGAGGGGAGGATTTCAAATTAAAATTGTTTTAAAAGTTTTTTTGAGTATTTGAACTAACTTTTTTGGACTATGTTTTATGTTCTTGAGAGTACAAATTATTTTTTTTTAGGGTAAATTTTGCATTTGCAAGTTAATATGTTTATGATAGAAGTGCGAAGGTCTATGAGAACTAATTGGCTTGTGTGCTTTGTGATATTTTCATTTTTTTTATGACTTAGGACCTTGTGTTTGAGTTATTTGCATTAACTTTAGGTTGACAGATAATTTTTTTTTATAATTTTTTTTTAAAAATATTTTACATTTTTGTCAAATTTGGCTTGTCTTTTATCTACTTTTTTATATTTTATAATGTTTACCATGAACATATACAACTGTTTTTGCATCTACTTTGCTACATATTTTGAGCTACATGCTTTAAAATTGCGTTTGCATGGTATAAACTACAATATTATGAACATTAAAGCCATAAACAGTCATGTTTTAGCAAAGAAGAAGTAAAGGAAATACACAATTTTGCGATTTTGTGGGTGTAGCATGGATATTATAGTATTAGCCATGCTTGTTTTACAACTTATTTACTTTACTATTATATGTACATGCTGTAGTACAGATTTTTTGACAGTGTGTTAAATATACAATAAATAAAAGTGTAATATATAAAACGGTTTATTATAGTAACAATAGGTGAAAATTGTAGATGTATTTATAATAGTTGTTGTAGTATTATATTAACAATGTTGTTACATCATTACATTTTTATGCTAAAATCTTGTCATAAGCGGCTTAAAACGTAGCATAACACAACTTGTTTTATATCATAGTAAGCTTTGTTTTTAGGTCGGATTCAGCTAAAGATAAGTCTACACTATACAGTGTAGCTTCTGTATAACAATCTTTCCTATAATGAAACTCTTTTATAACAAAAAATTTAAATTTTTAATTCTAGTGATCCCGGGTTATGTGTTATTACAAAAGCTCCAGTGTTAACTTTTGCCCATACAATAAATATTTCATATTGCAGTATCAACCATGCTGTCACAATATGACTTCCATCTTTATTGTTGCATGTATGTGTGTTTTTCGAGTCAATAATTAATGTCATCTGTTCTTTGTCACTTATTAGTGGCTCTGGCCGGCTTTAAAGTCAAATTTCCTTTGGCTTCAAATCTCGCGCACTTTTCGAAAGCGGCCAAAAAGAAAAAACTTTTTTTTGGCCAGTTTGTTTCTGATTAAGCGTTAAGAGAGTTTTCTCACATTACTACGGTTTGCAAATTATTCATACGGCTTTTACGCAGTTTGGAAGATGGAACGTGTATATAATGAGTGGTGAATGTAAGGGAAGTATAGTAGAGTAGTAGGTATAGTTTTTGATGTTTTAGGAAGACACGTTTGGTTGAGAAAAAAGCATGTTTATATGAAGCTTGGATTTCTATATGTAGGGCAAGGGCAATGGGATTTTGAGAAAGAAGGAGGGGGGGGGATAAAAATATTATTTCTATAATATATGAACTTTAGCTTTCTATATGTAATATGTATGTACAAGGGTAAGGAAATCTTGGAAGAGGAGGAGGACTGGATGATAGAGAAAGGGAGGTGTAAAAGCGATATTGAGAAGAAGGTCAGGGTGAGGTAAATAAAAAAGAGTCAGGGGGATCCAGATTATATGTAAAATACGTGATGTTTTGTTGCATTTTGTGTTGCACCATTTTCAAATGCAAATTTGCTCTTTTTATTGAAAATTTGATTAAATTTGCTCTTTCAAAACCCCAGTTTTTGAAAAGTCTCAGAAAGTTCAAAATTTTATTCTAGAACTCTCTAGAAGGCTGTATATAATTTGAGACGTGAGGAGGGACACTGAAAGTTTGGTAAAGACCG